TTGGGCCTTGGGCCTGAGATCAGTTATGACCTATTTAGGTAGCGGACCTCGTCTTGGTCGAGGTCGCCCAGCGCGTGTCTGAGGTGCATATCCGAGGTCGTCCTGCACTGTGATGCCGAGCTGGAACTCGGCATAGCGGTACGGATAATACAGTAGGTAATAATAATTTTTAGTAACAATAATATGTCACTATATAATAATTTTTTATAATGTCATTGGTAGTGTCATGATTCATACAAATAAAAAAGCTTAAACTAACTCATAGACTACTCACATATACAAAAAAAGACACCACACAATCATGACTCATGAAGCAAATGGGATAAGATATAATGTTTCTCTTTACCGTTAGAGACTTGTAATTAGTCTTAAAATAAAAAATATAATTGACTTAAATTATAAATCTGAAACCTTAAATATATATTATTTATTTAATTATATTAATATATAAAAGGTGGAAAGTGGAATATGATGGGATAAGTATTATAGTAATAGACCGGAATTCATACTTGCACAATGTTGTAGGTATATACTCACCCATTTGATGTAAAATTGTAGATAAATATACTCTTGTTTGCGGATATTTTTGAAGTACCTTTAGGGTCTTATCATCCCTACTAGCTATGGTCATAACGGACTTTTGGTGCACCCAAGTTTGGGTTTAATTTGGGTTGACAAAATATGTTGAATCTTGATAATATTTTGGTTTGTTATTTATTTAATGCATTTATTTTATAAAAAGCTTTATAATCAAAATATTTTATAGATAATGTTTAGTTAAAGTTGCTAATTTCACATATATTTACAATCATATAAAATATAATAAATAATTATTTTAATAAATTTAACACTAATATTATTGCCATAAAAATATAGTTATAATATGTTATATTAAAAAATTAAAAGAATTGAAACGTAACAAGAATAGTGGAAGACGATTTATATATTTTATAGATTCTTTGGTAATATAAAAATTTGAAATATTTAGTGTTTATATATTTCCTATGTGATAAGAAAAAACAAGTGTCAATGTAAGTATAGACTTTTCTTTATAGGTATTTTAATTTTTTTTAAAGGATTTATATTCAAAGTCTGATTTTATGTTTTGATTTTATTTTTTCATCGCAGATATATACTTATACATAATATTTCTATGGTTTTCACTTTTGCTTGTGTCGGTGATGGACATTATAAGGGATTGGGCCTTGACTTATTTCTCACTCTTGAGTTGTGTTGCTGTAGTGTCAGTGTTCCAGCCTTTAGTGCACAACTACATTTTCTTTAGGCCTTTGGGCCTATAATTTGGGCTTTTGTTAGCTTCTGTATCCTCGTTCAAAAAAAAAACAGTTAAAAAGAATCTATTAGTAATTATTAAAATCAATTCTTATATATTAAATATAAATATATATTTTGCACAATAATATTTTTAGGAGTTATTTTCGAAGATGATATTTTTATATTTTAAAAAAAAATTTATCTAATTCAATTTTTTGTTTATCATACTTATTTATTTATGAACTAAATTACAATATTTTAAATAATTTATCAATAATTAAAATAATATTATAACATAATTTATATGTTTAAAAATATTTATTTATACAAATTTTAAATATAATTTATATATTTAAATATAATATTTATTTGTATATATTATTTATTATAATTTGTAATTATATATAACAAATATTTTGTCTATGAAATACACAAACTAAAATATTAATATCTAGTAATAGGTAATTTTATTTCATGGGTAGTTAATAAGGTCTTCTATAAAAAAAAAAAATTAATAACATCATAAGATTTTATTTTGATTTTTAACAGTATGATCGTAAGATTATTAAAATATATAATAGTAGTCATTTTTTTTTATGTTCGATAAGGAAGTATGACTTCTTATCACATTGGCCTAAGAAGAGTCTATAGGAGATCAATGGCTTCCACATATATTTATAAAAACATATTATACATTAATTTGAATATATATAATGAAGTAGAAAAATGTTAATGATATTCTTTAACACACTTTTTTTATTTGGTTGAAATTTATTGAAAAATACAAAATTTTGTGGGTCCCGCACCTTATTTAATGACTATCATTCTTAATTTTGTGATTTTCAATAAATTTTAACCAATAAAAAATACTGTATTAAGATAAGTATATTAAAGAGTCTGTTGTTAGCATTCTTCTAAGAAATTATAATATATTTTCTAAAATTTGTAAAAATTTGTAAGTTTGATCTACTAATTAAAACTTTTAATTTAGTGGTTATATTCTTAAAATATGAGCACTTATTTTTTTATTTAGAATATCATCAAGTCAAATAAAATTCAATGATGTCAATTATGAAATTTCATATAACAATTTGTTTGAATGATTAGGAGTGTAAATGAGTTAGATCTGACATAATTTATTACTCAATTTAATGAAATATAATTAAATATACCATATCAAATTTGTGCTTTTTGAAGCAACTCGAGGATAAGTTGGATAAGTAAATTTATTTATTAAATATAAATATATATAAATTGTTTTTTATATCAAAAAAGATAATTTAGAAAATAAAGTATAAATTATATTATCAATATATATTTGAAGTATACTAATATAAATTATATGATCACTATTTTTTTTTTTACAAAGATGAAAACATGTTTTAACCAAGCTCATATATAATATTTTATTGTGAATATTATATTTAATTGGAATTAGGTCAATTAATTGGTTATAAATTCATTAACTCACTATTTAATTCAATTATAATTAAGTTAATTGTAACATGTTTAACTCGATTCAATTGGTCGAAATATAATTGAATTGGACTGAGTTAATCTAATTTAATTTATAAGTAAATTTTGACTAAACTACATTTTTAATTAATGAATCATAAGTAAAGCTCTCAATCCATTTTTTTGAAAAATTAGTTTGAGTATTTTTAGTTTGTACATCATTGTTACCATTGAAATTATTACAATTATCAATTCATTATCATTATTATTTTTATTTTTATCATCATGTTTATCACATGTTTATGTGATATTAATTATTAAATAATATATAACTACATTTTTTTGTATAAATAACAAATATTCTCCATAAGACACAATCATGTTGGAGTTAAAAATTATGAGTGACAAAACTTTTTCTCTAATTATTTAACATATTTGTATGTTCCTATTTAGAATAAGTTTGTGTTAATTGATTCATATGCTTGATGGAATATACAATTACATAGTGACAATATTATTATTATTATTATTATTATTTATGAGTGAATGTAGAATATATTTCGATTGATGACAAAATAATTTCTTTTGATATATAGAGATCATCTAAATGAGTTTTGTCTTTATCAACAAAGTGTTTTTTCATATGTACAATGAAGAAATCAAACTCATTGTCAATATGTTTAAAAAACTCAATTATCTACTAATTACATCGAATTTTGTTAATCACTCAAATACTATTTTATCATAACAAATACTATAATTAGTAATTTTTTTAAAATATATATATTACTTTAATTTTTTTATTACATAAACTACATCTATATACAAAACTATCACATTTGTGTCTACTAAAATTGTATAGACGATAAAACTTTATTTCAAAGACAAAAGTATCTAATATATTAGTTAAGTTGAAACAAAACAACTCGACACTTTTTAATACACATGCTTGAGGAAAATGTCCAACAATTTGATTAAAAAATACTTTTTAACTTTATTATTTTCATTATTAAAAAAATGACAAACTATTTTAATATTATTTTTTTATAAATATTTTCGATATATAAATTAGAATAGTTATTTATTATGAAAATAATTTTAGAATTTATATTTTGACGATAATGTTTTTTTCTTCTCTTTTTAATATTTATTTCAATTTGTATTTATTATAACTATTTATGATACAAGAAATATTTTTTTATAATATATATCATGTATCATAAATTTAAAATATAATTTAAATATAATAATTTTTTTATATACATAATTTATTATAATTTTTAGTTATAAATAATAAATATTAAAATATGCTAAAATATTAGTTATAAATTAAATCTATATATAAAATAATATTTATCCTGTGCGTTGTAAAATCTACAATACTGGTATTCATTTAATTATAAAATAATATTACTTGCATTGTTTTGATTTTTAAAAGTCTTCGTTTTTGTTAATTATGTTTTGAAAAGAAAAATATATTAATAATCTGGTAACTTCAAACATCTTTTTGAAAAATAATTTAAAAAAAAATATGATATTTTTGGAATTTAAATTATATAAAATTTCTGCAAAATTAATTTGAAATAAGACAGAAGATATTATTATTCTATGAACAGTAATTGTACACTTCTCTTGACCACTGAAAGAAGTCACGGGAAAACTGCCATATTTATGAAAATAATTATTTGAAATTGATTAAAAAGTTTGGTGCTATTTTTATTTTTCATAATTTTTGGTAATAGACACATAACGCGTTAGATTTTAAGAATGGAAAATCATTAGAAATTAAAATTAGTCACATTAATTTTTCTAGGAATTAATGCATCTCATAAATAAAAATTAATATGATTAATCATAATTTTTAAGGATTAAGGTAAAAATTTATATGATTAAAATAATAATTTAATTAAAATATATCAGCATGTATAAATATTTTACATTATAATTGAATTATGAATTATTATATAGTTAAAATTATTAGTTTTTATAATAATAACTTTTAAAATACAAGGATAAATTAATCTTTAGTATAATACTGGGTAAACTATATTCAATAAAAGAAATATACATAATTTTTTTTTACTTAACTAATATATAAAATATTTATATAAATAATGTATAAATAAATATGTCTGTGTCTCTTTAAAGTTTTTAAAATATATAAATTATAAAATATTGAGTCCAAGGATATTTGTGGACCATTGTGGAATTCAGACTTCACAAGAAATATAACAAGTACGGGTAGCACGGTATATGAAATATGAAATATGAAATATTAAATTTTAAGATAAAAAAAGAAAGAAGAACAAATAGCCTTAATAACATTCCAGATCTGAAACGGAACCTCTTTTTCAGATTTTATGAAACTCAAATCTCTTCAACCTTTCTAATTCTTCATATCCATCACGCCAAATCACAATACCCTTCAGGTAATTCCGCGCTTTTGTCTTTAAGCTGAATTTGTTTGTTCTTCTCCCTTGAACACTTTTCATTGGGGTTACGACCCACTAAGCTGGAGTTCCACACTAAGTTAGTTTCTTCATCATGTTCATCCGTTATCTCTGATTAGGAATACCCATGTAGCCAATTTCACAACTTGTGGGTTTTAGTTAGATTTTTCAAGGGTTTGATTCTAGGGTTATTTTTGCAAATTTAGGGTTTTCGGATACTTAGGCTCAGGTGAGATCTTTGTGAAGCGGTGTTTGGAAAAAGTTTTGGTTTTGAGATTTATGAGATATTAATTGTGGAAGGAGGGAGGAAGAAAGATGGTTGGTGAGAAGTTGTGTGTGAGCGAAGAAGACAAGGGTGTGTTGGAATCTGTGTTGGGTGCAGAGGCTGTTGCCTTCTTTATTTCAGCACTTTCCAATAATGTCTTCTCCGGCGTGGTTGCTCCGTCGGCCGGCGCCGATGTGGGGCTCCGCCACCGGCTAAGCCAGCTTGTTGAGGGTTCCAAGTGGAACTATGCTGTGTTTTGGCAGGTTGCTGGCTTGAAATCTGGTGGTTCTGCCTTGGTTTGGGGTGATGGGCATTGCAGTGATGCCAAAGGGGAGAGGAATGGAGTTGGGAAGGAGGATGAGCAGGAAGTGAGAAAGAAGGTGCTGCAGAAGCTTGATGCCTGCTTTGCGGGGTTTGTGTCAAAAGAGGCCAATTATGCAAGATTGGATAAGGTGTCTGATTTGCTCATGTTTTACTTAACCTCAATGTGTTATATATTTGGTTTTGATTTGCCGTGTGGCCCCGGCAGTTCGTTCAAGTCTGGTAAAGTGATTTGGGCTTCTGATGCTGCTGGCTGTTTGAACCAATTAGAATCTAGATCATTTCTAGGGAAATTGGCTGGTCTTCAAACTGTTGTCTTTGTTCCTTTGAAAACGGGGGTGGTTGAGCTCGGTTCGCCTGAAATGTTGCCTGAAGAGCAGGGTGTTGTGGAGATGGTCAGGACTGCATTTGGGGAATCCAGTCCGGGACAAGCGAAGGTGTTTCCGAAGATTTTTGGGCATGAATTAAGCCTGGGGGATACAAAATCTCAGTCCATAACTATTAGTTTCTCCCCAAAGGTGGAAGATGATCCTGGTTTCACTTCGGACTCCTATGAAGTTCAAGCACTAGGGGTGAACCATGGTTATGGAAATTCTTCCAATGGGACTTTAGGTGACAGCAATGAAGGGAAAATGTTCCCTCAATTGAATCAAATGATGGCTGGGAATTTCAATGCTCCAGGAAGGGGTCCTTGTCTAGATCTTGGTAATGAAGACTCATCCTCAATTCATGCAGATGAGAGGAAGCCCAGAAAAAGAGGTAGAAAGCCTGCCAATGGGAGAGAGGAACCACTAAACCATGTTGAAGCAGAGAGACAAAGACGCGAGAAGCTTAACCAGAGGTTTTATGCGTTGAGAGCGGTTGTCCCTAACATATCTAAAATGGACAAGGCATCTTTGCTTGGTGATGCCATTACCTTTATCACTGATCTCCAGATGAAGATCAAGGTGTTGGAAGCTGAGAAGAACATGATTAACAATAAGGACCAGAAGTTGTCATTGCCAGATATGGATTTTCATGATAGAGAGGATGACACAGTTATGACAGTGAGATGCCCGTTAGAGATTCACCCTGTTTCTGGTGTGGTTAAAACGTTCAGGGAGCATCAAATTGTGGCTCAAGACTCCAGTGTTTCCACTACAGACGATAAAATAATTCATACATTCTCCATAAGAACTGAGGGAGGGGAGGCTGCTGCTATACAGTTGAAAGAAAAGCTTGAAGAATCCCTTTCCAAAAATTGACGGTCAGAACATATTTATGTAGAGCATGTCGATGCTATTGTAAACCATGTTAGAAATACTCTACGTTTGTCTTGTAGGCTAACTTGTGATTGTTCTTAGCTTACTTTTTTTGTTACTTGTAATTTATGTTTTAAAATATGTTCAGGTCATCAATAGCCTGAATTATGTACTTAAGTTGATTAATAGTTGATGTTGATGCATAATATAAGTTGAACTATATTTAATCTACCACCAATCTAAGTAAGAAATTCTCATGACATTGGAGTATTTTTTTTTTACCTTACTCACCTGGCAAATCAAGTTAATTACTTGCTTTACAATACTAGCTACTTCATGATAATAATTATCCCTTATTTATTTATTTTTTTATTTTATTTTAGTGGATGCACAGAGTGACTATTCTTGTGCTAGAACTTAGACAATAGTTTGCATTTGTCAACTAATTAATTATTCGTAGCATTGAATGTGCGAGAGCACACATGATGGAATGGAAGCGGACAACATTTTCAAGACCGTCATTTCACCTTAATCTTAAAAGCTTCAGCATCAATTGATTACAAGTTCTTTGACAAATATGTAACTATTTGGGATTATTTTTATAAGATTTTTTTTTTGAGAAGTTTGTTTTGATTTTTTTATTATATAAAATTAAACTAACTATCGCTTTATTTTTGTTTTATAAATATAGCTTTTTTAGTGGTTATGTATTAACTACTTACATAAAAAAATATTAAGAGAATGAAGTCTCGATTGTTTTAAGAATAATTCTAAGAAATAAATTGTTGAAAATATAATATTATATCAAATTAACTAAATATCTCAATTGAAAAGTACGTAGATCAATTGGTAAAGAGTTATTCCACCTTAATCACTGATGATTTTGAGTTTGAATTTTAGGTATATTAATGTGTTGTCATTCATAATAATCTTATATAATTTGAACATAATTATCTCCAGTAAAGAATACCTTTGTCTTAAACAAAAAAAAAAAAACTTAATTACTTTGGAATGGTTAAAGTACAAAAAAATAATAATTGAGTTTATGTTCTTCCGAATTGAAACAAAATCCGTTTTTATAGCCTTATTTTTAAGAACGAACTCCAACATCAACTTTATACATCTCGGGAGGTGTTTATTTCGAGTTATCTTTTTGTATTCTCAAAAATATAAAATGTGAAAATGCTTATTTGTTAGAAGATCATGCAATTATATTTTCAAGTATCTTTTATTTTTGAAAAAATGATATTCCCATAATAAATAAGGAAGTTTTATTTCCATGGTGGAGGGATGGACAAATAATATTTTCATGAAAATATTGAAAGTTATTTTCTATAACCCTTTTTAACTTTCATTTTATTTAAATTATTTTAAAATTTTAAAAATATTCTAAAATATATTAAAATAAATCGAACATGTTTACTTATATTCCTTAGAATAACATTCTGAATTATATTATTCCTTAAAATATAAATATCATTCTTTCAATGAAAGAAACGGCCGCAAGAAATTATTTTCCTTGATAGCTACAGCATAGTTTGATGCCAAGCAATACAACTACAAGAATCAATTATGTTATTATTATTGTCAAGACTTTAATTGCTAATATTCAAATCCATTTTATTTTTAACTTGCATATACTTTCAAAATTGCTAGGTTCACCCAGACAAAATTCTATAAGTACATACATCAGAAACCATAAATATTACTTTTATACAAGTCATTTTCATTCTTGGTGAAGATTGTTGTAAATGACAAGTATAAAACTTTTTTTTATTATTTTATTAATATTTTTCTATTTTTTGGTACATCATTTGCGATGAATATTTTGATCCATCTCTTTTTATTATATACATTGTTATTTATTTATTTATTTGACAGCATCTATACATTGTTATTTAAAACTTAAAAGAAGTAATAAGATGACGTGAATTAGACGGATAGAGGATTAAATTAGATTGAGTCACATCCTATGGAAGGGAACAGAAAAATATAATGTGACCAAAAACCTGAGACAATGAAAAATACACGTGACATGGTCATGGTCCTATGACGAAAGGAAAATGATGTATTATCTTAAATTCATAAGCCAAAAAATCCTCCGACTCTTTAAAAGTATAACACCAGTCCATTGATTTAATACAAAAATAATAATTTAATTTAGGATGCTTCGACTTCTGCAATTCGAAATCTGTAACATATCTAAATCAACGTTTAGAACACTATTTTTTCTTGAATAAAGTCTCAAATATTTTAATCATTAGTATTTTTTTTGGACGGTTTATACTTCTGATTGAGATGTAAAAATGAAAAAAATCATTAAAATGAATTTTATCTCTTGAAATGAGTTTCTTTCTTCCTCATATAATTGAAACCTTGTCATTATACTTAGAATGTGTTTTGTTATCCGTTTCAAAACATTAAAATATGTGTTTTTCCTTCTTAATGTATGGAATTTAAAAATAATAAGGTTATTGATTTAAAATTAAAGTACATTGAATTGAACTAATATACACTTAAAAAACATAATTATTTATCAATTGTGCTGAACTTTATTAATTAGTGTTTTATTTTCAACCTTTACAAAAATAACTTTTCATTTTTAAAATTAATTATTATGGTCAAGTTAGTTCTTAACGTTAAGGATCTTTTGATCCTCAAGTGTACAACAACCAATTTAATTTTCTTCTCACACTCCATTGTACATTACTTTATTAAAAATATCAACATCATTCTTTCATTAACACTCTCTTATTAGTTTAATTTCATTAGAAATTATAAATCTTGCGAGTCTCAATCTCATTTAATGACTCTCCTAATTTAATAATAAAATTTATCAAAATTCATAATTTTCAACCAATGCTATTACTATGATAGCTAGTGTTGTTAACATTTCCTTTAATTTCTTTGGAGCTGTGATTATTAAATTGAAGAATGAAAATAGTTGTGAAGAAGAAAAATATAATCCTGTATATAGTTGGGAAATTAGTTCCCTTTGGACCAAAAGAAGAGAAAAGACTAGATAAGAAAAGGTTCCTTGAAGGTGCAAAATGGCATGCAAGAGTCCGTGAATGTGATTTACTTTAATTTATTACCTATTTGCTGATATATAGAGTCTTATACTAAATATGGTGTGATGAGTTGGGTCGTGTTCATGTTTATCACTCTTTTCGTTGATACTTCCTTATGCTTATGTTAACTCTGAATCCATCAAACACATTCACACTATTTTTTTTTTTTTTTAATTTGAATTCCCCTCACAGTATGCATGACCAGTTTTGCCGTTCCAACCACGTTTCTTTTCAACACTCTAATAACCCATTCAATCCGCAGCCATAGTTTCCTCTTCACCTTCGCCATAATTTTAGTACAAATTAATCTTCATTAATTAAAAAACAATTCCTTTCAACACTACAAAAATTCTCATACTAGTCCATTGTATCATCGCATTTTAATTTTCTCAAAGATAGGCCATGACTTATTATTATTATTTTTTTCCTTAATGCATATGTGGTTGTCATTTTTTTTTTCATTTTTAAATCCTGAGTTTTTTCTGTGTTGTTTTTAAATAATTATTATGAGGTGAAATTAAACCAGTTTCACTAATTTAATAACTGCACGTCAAGAACATTAAAAAACTATATTTTGGTGATATTTTACTTCCATTTGCATAATTTATGTTATGTTTGAGGTAGATCAAGGAATTTTATGACCATAAGTTACTAGGTAGAAATTCCCTTTTAATAGTAAGGTTTATATTCAGCAGCGTGAATGTTTTTTCAACCTAAAGAAATAGCAAAAGTTTAAGCTGAACACGTCTTTGCTTATTTCAGATGACTTATTTTGGCCATACATTTTCAAACATGATATAATCTCCGGTCTTTAGGAAATGCTTATAATGATCCAAATGTTAATCCCCCGAACTTGGTATTCAGAACTTTTGTTATGGTTATGGATTTTCATTCCTGCTAACAGCGGAACCAATAACCAATTCTCACTATTTTCTCCAATAAAACTAACCCTTCATATTTACTTGTAAAAATTGAATCTGATATCAAATAATTTACAACAAATTATATATTTTATTCAACCAACTGAGTTAGTAACAACTAATAATAAATATACATATGTATTGTTTCTATATTTATTTATTGAGACTATATATATTGGATAAAAGTTGAAAAATATTTTTGTGAATTTTAATGTATGTATCCAAATATTAAACGAAGAAGAAATTACTTCGAGAATAAAAACATTCCTGGCTTTTTTTTAATTGAAATCTAAATATGCATATGATTTTTGTTATTTTTGTTGGGAATCATATATCAATGACCATACAAACTTAATAAAAATGAAGGACGATTCTGCCACGGGTGAACATGAAAAAAGAAAAATGGTTTGTCTTGTTCCTATGGTTTGTTTAACGAACCAACACACAGCCGCCACGTGGTAGCTCCCCGGAAAAACGATTTTTTATTTTTCATTTTCTGAACATGTAGAATGATTTTGCATTTTTTTTCGAATGGCACAAATGTGTAATGACAATGATTAAAAAATATTAAAAAAAAATTAACTATATTTTTAATTTTTAAGTTTAAGCTAATTTTTGATCTCTTAAATTTAAAATTATTATTTTTAGTTCTTGTAATTTTTAAAAATTTTATTTTAATTTTTCAAATCACTAATAACATTTGAAAGTGACAGTTATACTATATTAATTAGGTTTAATGTAGTGTTTTCACTAATAAGGACACTAATAAATATATTTTATGTGACAATATTTAAGATTTTTTTAACAAAAATTGAGTATACGAATTAAAATAAGATTTTTTAAAATTAAAGGATTAAAAAATGAGTTTTAAATTTAAGAGATTAAGCATTTTTTCCCTCAAAAAAAAAATTAAGAGATTAAAAACATATTTAAGTTAAAAAAAAAATTAAACACAAGTCAATTTTGCATCTTCGATGGTTAATCATCCTACTTTGATAATTAGTTTCAAATCAACCTAATTTGGTAATAAGTTTATAAAATTGTCTCATTATGATCAATGAGTCTTAGTTAAACAAAAATTCACTATGCTAACGAGTGTTATTGAACTTAATATGTCACCCGCTACCAAGACATTGTCAAATCATTTACATATTTTCAGTTTTACAAACTTTACACTTAAGATACTTAATCCTCGATTTGAAGAGAGTATATTAAAAATCTCACATTAATAGATAATATG